ATGATATGTAAGTTACAAATAACATTAAGTGTTGGAGATTAGTAACCAATAAAACTGCCTCTTTTCTTACTCTTATTTTTTTCTTTTGACAAACAGTGAAGATCGAATGAGTTCAAAATTTGACCAAATTACAATGACAATCTCTTTAAAAGAATTAAGAAGATGCCAAGAATCAATATCCTGATACTTTTCCATTTCAGAAAGAAAGAAATTTGAAGCAAAATGACATTCAATCAACTTTCCAGGTCTATCAAGTAGACTAAATATTAAATGGCAACCAAACAGACTAGTGGGCAATTCACGAGCACCCACTTCACAAACATCCAACAACTATCCAAAAAATTATATTTATATATACGCGCACACACATACATAATACAATCCAAAATCTTTTCTGGGTAGTCTAATTAATTTGCTGCAATTCCAAAAATCACGGCTACCCACTTGCCTCTTTTCACTAACAAAAACAACCACGCAGGCAAATATACCTCACTGATAAAAGAAAAAGGGATATACATGCATATATATATATATATATATATATCGAGAAAAACAAACTGAACATACCAAAGATGACACATGAAATGCAGTTTTCTCGTGTGGCTGGCCGCTAAGGCATGTTTGCTTTGCTTGCTGGTAAACTTTATTGTGTTATTATGACTTGCTGCGAACACCCATCCAACTTTGAAGGTATTACGTCAAAAGAACATTTTCTTTTTCTTTTGCTGTTAAAACTTGAAGGAGAAGTTGGGAGGAAATGGAAAAGCAACATCTCTTTTTGACATGAATAATCACTGTTCATTGCGTCTGCGCCCGCAATACATCACCATCTGGTGCGTTACACAAGTAATTAGAATGTTTATGTTAATTCCCTCTAAAGCAATATTAAACAAAAGAAAGTGGAACTTCTAGCTCTGTCTTCATCAGTGGGAATTATGAACTATCTATTTAATTAGACATTTTTTATTATTATTTTTTTTTAAAAAATAACTTAGCTTTCGTTTTTTAAATAACAAATAAATTTATTAAAGCATAAATAAACACTACTAATGTTAAAAAATTTTAAAAATTACAATTTTATTCTATGCGATTTAGTTTTTTTTTCTAAATTTAATATATGTAATTTTATTTTTATAATTTCCATAGTTTAACTACATTGTATTAATTATATAATAAAGAAATAAGTATGAAAATTATAATAGTAAGGAAACATTAATAAATGGACAAAAAAAGTTATAGTATGTCATGATCATCATCATTTGAGTATTTATATGTTTGTATCAACTAATTAATTTTCTACTCATAAAAAAATAATTTTTTTTGGAAAAAAAATAAAACAAAGTGATTAGGACGCATAGGACCAAAGAGTTTTTAATTGAATTTTATAATTTAATACTCATTTTGTTTATGTTGTCTTTAAGCAAAAGGTGCATATAACATAGGATACTGACCATTTCATAACAATACCATAAAAACATGAACAAAAAATTTGATTTATATTACTAAAATTAATTTAAGAGCGAAAAATAATATAAGAATATATATTTACTTTTATAAACAGTTTCATGCGTAAAAAAAGTAAATTAAATATATGTTACTTAAATAAATTAGAAATTAAAAATTTTCGAATGTAAAACTGTTTTATTTCTATCTATCTTAATTTAATATTTATATTTCTATTTTTATTAGAAATAATTTCTGTGCGAATCGTACTTTTTACTTTGGGCCGAGTCTAGGAATTTTGTCTTAAGCGAAGCCCAGAACACGAACAAGCACCAAGGCAATATAATCAATCAGAACCGTTGATTGCTTCAGGATCATCAAAGATCGTCTATCCCCCGTCAGTGGAACACAGGGGAACATTTCTTCACCTTGCACATCTTTCTCCTTCCTCTTTACATCTCTCCATTTTCTGGTTAGTTGTTTGGCTCAATCAACGAAGGGTAGATTTCAGTAACTCTTGCTATGGTAGGCTCTCTATGGACTTTTGAATTTCTCCCCTAATATCATTTGAGTATTTATAATTTTCTTCCGGACATTGATTTACTGAATTAAGGTTTATTTTCCACTTTCATGTATTTTCGCATTATATGTGCAGTTTTCTTCTCGTGTATTGTTAAATAGGGATGGCCTCAATTAGTCTGTGCAAAATGGTTTTCAATCGTTAAGTCTGTGCCAGATCTAATTGAGTTATTTATTTCGATTTATCGTTTGGTTTCCGAGAATGTTGGGCGAAATTAAGAGGAAGATAGTGAATTGGTTTCATCTCGATTTTATGTGTTGTTGCATTCTTTGCTTTTACGTTTAGCTAAACCATTTTATTACATTATCGAGGAGGAAATTTTTTTTGCTTTTCAGCTCTCGAAATTTCAATCGCTTCTCACTAGTCCCTGAAGTTTTTCATCATATCTGTTGCTTCTAAAATTTCAACCCTAAATATAAGAAAGAATTGGTGTTGCTTCCTTGGAGACCTATGATTGGTTAATTGCATATTTTGGTAATGATCTCATAGTGGGTTACAATAAACATCCAGAATTCACTTGTTTTCTTTCACTATTATGGATAGGCACCTGTTAAGGGCATTCTTTCCCTGCAACGCACAGCTTCACGTTGGCAGCAAAGTAACAGATGGGGCCAAACCATGAGATCATTCAGCACTCAAGGTGCTGCACCTTCAAATACTGCACAGCCTCCTCCACCTCCCCCGCCTCCTGAGAAAACTCATTTTGGTGGTCTTAAAGATGAAGACAGGATTTTTACCAACTTGTACGGGTTGCATGATCCTTTTCTCAAAGGTGCCATGAAACGTGGGGATTGGTATAGAACTAAAGACCTGGTACTAAAGGGTGCTGATTGGATTGTCAATGAAGTCAAGAAGTCTGGGTTGCGTGGACGTGGTGGTGCAGGTTTCCCGTCTGGCCTTAAATGGTCATTCATGCCAAAAGTATCCGATGGTCGTCCATCATATCTAGTTGTCAATGCTGATGAAAGTGAACCTGGCACATGCAAAGATAGGGAAATCATGCGACATGATCCCCACAAGTTATTGGAAGGCTGCTTGATTGCTGGGGTAGGAATGAGAGCTACTGCTGCCTATATTTACATAAGGGGTGAGTATGTGAATGAACGTAAAAATCTAGAGAGGGCTAGAAAAGAGGCTTATGAAGCTGGATTTTTGGGAAAAAATGCATGTGGCTCTGATTATGATTTTGATATTCATATCCATTTTGGTGCTGGTGCTTATATTTGTGGTGAGGAGACAGCACTTCTGGAAAGTCTTGAAGGGAAGCAAGGCAAACCAAGGTTGAAGCCTCCTTTCCCTGCCAATGCTGGATTATATGGTTGTCCCACCACTGTTACTAATGTGGAAACAGTGGCTGTATCTCCCACCATTTTAAGGCGTGGGCCAGAGTGGTTTGCCAGTTTTGGCAGGAAGAATAATTCTGGGACAAAACTGTTCTGCGTCTCCGGACATGTGAACAAGCCTTGCACAGTGGAAGAGGAGATGAGTATACCACTTAAGGAGTTGATTGAGAGACACTGTGGAGGTGTTAGAGGTGGATGGAATAATTTACTTGCTGTGATACCAGGAGGTTCATCTGTTCCGCTGCTTCCTAAGCACATATGTGATGATGTGCTTATGGATTATGATGCGCTCAAGGCAGTCCAGTCAGGACTGGGCACTGCAGCTGTGATCGTAATGGATAAGTCAACTGATGTTGTGGATGCAATTGCAAGGCTGTCTTACTTTTACAAGCATGAGAGCTGTGGGCAATGCACACCATGCAGGGAGGGGACAGGTTGGCTTTGGATGATAATGGAGAGATTGAAAGTTGGGAACGCAAAATTGGAAGAGATTGATATGCTTCAGGAGGTGACCAAGCAGATTGAAGGACACACCATTTGTGCATTAGGTGATGCAGCTGCATGGCCTGTGCAGGGTCTTATACGGCACTTTAGGCCAGAGCTTGAGAGAAGGATTCGGAAGCGTGCACAAAGGGAATTATTGGAGGCTTCTGCTTAATTTGTTTTGCCAAGGTTACTTCTTGCGTCTTTTGTGCTTTCATTTTCTTTACTAGATTGTTTCTATGAATAATTGGTTTTTTTTACACATACTGCTAGGACAACCATTGTGTTGGCATGATATTGTAGTATTTAATCTTTCATTCACCAGTCTCTGTGGACATTCAGTGCCCATCTACACACCACACAGGTTAGAAGTTTGGTGAACTTAAAAGTCATCCCTTAGTAAGCATATGAAAATAGGACAGCATAATTAAGATTATCCAGAGAGCCATATATTTCCTTTGTGGTCTTGCTTTTAATTAGCTTGTATTACTCTTATATTCTTCTCAATTATATTTAATTCCTTTCTTCTGAATGATGTTAAACTTAAGAAGAGAAAAAGAGAAATGACAAAAAGCAACGTGAGTAAAAAAAAAAAAAAGAAAAAAGCTCTCAAAGACAGGAGTTTGGTCCTGAAATGAAACAGACTCCATATGTCAATATTTTTTCACTGATCTCTAGTTTCAACCTATTAAGAAACCAAATTTAGACAAAAATCCTATGAGTTTTTGGGTCTGTTCTTGAAACGTACTCCATAGCTCTTTTTGCCTTGAATTAGCTCTAATGTTCTTATAATGAATAACAGATTCTAGAAGATTTTCTATTATTGCAATTAGTGGTTTCTACTTGAATATTGCTGGCCGTCTTGGTAAATTTCTACCTTGTTTATTTTTCAGCAGAGAATAGCTACTACTAGAATGCATCTTAACATAAATATAAAGTTCAATGTGCTTCTTTCTTCTGGTATAGGAATTTCCTGTGCTAGTGGATGTTCTGGAATAAAATTGAAGAAGGGTCCGTAGATGGGGGAAGATAGGTGACTCAGTAGCTGTTGGTACTGCTGCAGTTTGTTTTTTAGCTGTATACTCTTGACTTATTTCAACTATCCCAAAGGAATGATTATTTGTTCTATTTGTCTGGGAGTAGATTCTCCAGAGATTGTTTATTGTATCTCCCATCTTTCCTGGGCGTCTTCTTGCACATTTGAGGTACTCTGTTAATAATATTTGAAGTATTTTGTTCTGCACTAGGCAGACAGTTTTCTAGCTGGTGAAACGTTCACGAAAGTGACAATTTAATACCTGCATATTGAAATTTATTTGCATTCCAATTACAAAAATGAAAATGAGTTTGCATTTTGCAAGATCAAGTATTATGTCCCTCAAGATAACATGATTAGATTGGGAGAGAATCAGCTCGAGACAAAAGCTATTTGCAGTAAAGCTGAGTTGTTGCAACTTGCGATACAAGCTTTAAGCTTGTTAAAAAGACAGGAAAATGATAGTCTTTAGAATTTATAAGTTTTAATTGTGAGATTACGGATTTGTGCAGAGATCATAGCTCATATCGTTTTTTTGTTAGTGTTTAATTTGATGATGGATGAGTGAGTAGGTGATTATGTGACGGCCCCGGAAATTTTAAAATGAAATATGTGTATTAAAAAGGTCAAATGCGGAAGCGTAATAAAATTTTTGATTAAACATCCCTTACACTAAAACAAAAAACGTGCTCAAAGTATAAAAGAACAAACTAACTAAAAGAGAAACTCGAAAATAAAAGCTATAAATATGACTACGGAGTTTTCAGGCGTCCCCTTCGCTGTCTTCCTGCGGAACGGGCTCGGGAACGATGTCTTCCTGATCTGAAATGATTAAATAAGGAATGAGCTACACCAGCCCAGTAAAGACATCACACTATCTCACCGTCACGGAGGTAAAGGTGGGTAGAAAACACAAAAAGAACAATGGAGCATAGTTTACAACAAATTCTTTTATCAATAATAAAATCCTTTACTATCCACTTATCTCGGTGAAATTCATAAAACAATATACGAAAGTAATAACATTATCATCATCACGAAATCATAGAAACTGTATAACATAATACTTATCACGCCTTTTGTATCTCAATCATTACACAACATATTTTTCCTTATTTACCAGCCTACTAGTATCCATGGGGATCCATAGGGGTCCCGTTACCCGTGAACCCTTAACACTTGTAATCAGATTCCAGGGCCGTCCCCATACTCCGTCCGGTATGGGCGCCAAAACTATAAACCTCAATACCCCGTCCGGTATGAGGGTGAAACGGGTCGTCCCCATACTCCGTCCGGTATGGGCGCCAAAACACATAAGATCTCCATACCCCGTCCGGTATGAGAGACCACAATCCCGGTAGGGTTCCCTACGGACCCGATCCGTCCACCATCTCCCAGGATATCTAGTCAGGCTGACCAAATTATACAATTATCAATTTACATAACCTTTCATTCCCATTTTCCTCAGTCAGCATCATCAATTCGCAAACAAACAAGCAAATCAGTAATTTATGCCAAACAAGACAACATACAACATCGGGTTCTCAGTCATTCAACCCACAATCAATAAAACAGTAATATGTGCACACGAAACTATGAAATGAAAACATAAGACCTCATACTGCATTTAAAACCGTAAAATAGGCCAAACAACAGCTAACGGACAAACACACCAGACTCGGGCTCCATTAGCGACCTTAAACAATTTCACACATCTGTTGATTCATGAAATACCGTTTTATCATTTATTGAACTTCAATACCGTGATAGGAAATAGGGTTGAGGGGTCCTTACTTGTTTCGGGGTCCGAACATGGCTCCACAGTGCGCCTACAGGCTGTTCCTAATTTTTCCTGAATTTTTCCCGGGGAACTGAAACGCACTACTGGTACCTGCACGTGTCCCAAAAAATCCCAAATTAGATCCAGGGCCCCCTTTCGGCCAATATCGCAATTCTGGCACGGCGGCGATTCGCCTCGGGTTGGCCGTTTTTCGGCCGTTTCCGGCCGAATTCGACCACACTTGCATCGGTTCCTACGATAAAAAAACCCTAGGGCCCTCGGGGGGCCAAAAAATTACGAAAAACCGAAGCTTACCGGCGACGGTGCTCTCGGGTGCGGCGGCTCTCCGACGAGGTTCGTGTTTTGGTGATTCGGCTCCTATCAACCTGTAGAGAAAAGAATGGTGATCACGGTGATATAAAAATTGTATCAAACGGAGGCCGGGAAGGGCCTCATCGGAGGCAAAAATCGGGGAGGGGTGCGGCGGCGCCGCTGGGTTTCAGCCGTGTTTTCTGGCCGTTTGGCCGGGATTTTGGCTCCGATTTGGCCATAGGGGAACTCAGCGTGGAAAAATGAGTCGGGGGTATGAAATTTACCTCGATCGGCGGTCGAAAAACTCCCC